CTGTTAGGCACTTCATGCATTCCATCCAACCTGGGGTGGGGACCAGGAAGCAAGCTTTACAAAGACTCTTCCCATTTGACGAGAGTTACATAAGTATAAGTAATTAACTGTGCTTTGTCCCTGATGCCAGGGTTCTACCCTCTTTCCTTTGCCAACAAGGAAAGACCTGCTAAATAGGATATGATCCAGAAATAACAAGTTATTACAGCTCAGACATCCATTGTCCAATGGCGCCATTTCAGATTTGGGCGGGGGGAAGACGCAACTTTAACAGTGATTCTAGGGGTTACTTAGGCTGCTGAAAACTCTAGTTTTTTTCCAGATAACTAAGACATTAGCTGACAAAGGCATTGTATCTAATTCCTATACAAAGAAAGGAAACTAAATAAATATTAGACCCACTCAGATCTAATACTAACATGTTCTGACATCTTGTGTCAAATCACTTAAGGGACATTGGTGAGGTGTAAAATTTAATGTATATTCTTACTTTGTTACTAACTCTTGTATAAAACAACTGAAACAATTGTAGAAAAATCTAGATTATTTTCTATCACTTTTTTTTCCAGTTTACCGGGCTTCGAATAGATCATTTAACTTTTGGAAACATCTCACTAGGGCAAGGCCTTGTGAGTTTATACTTCATCTGCCTGGGGTTGTAGGGCTCTTACCCCGCTACAAATACTAGACTAGAAACTGACTTTGAACAGAAGTGAAACTGACATTTTCAAGTCACTTTCATGGTATATCCAACCCCAAATGTTCAAAAACCAGGAATCAGGCTCACCAGAAATCATGAGATTGGCTTTAAAATCATGAGATTATGTAAAATAGTAGATTTAGGGTTCTTTTTATTTGCCTTCTGCTTTTTGAGACTTTAGGGTGCACTGGAGTCACATTTTGAAGCTTTCTTCATAGCACAAGGGCTTGCAACTTCATTTTTCTTTAAGAATAAAGGCTTAAATCATCACATCTCTACTTGGCTCAAGGAGCTGGGGCTTTAAGGAAAACAATAATTATCATGAAACTCATGACAAAATCATAAGAATTGGCAACACTGCTTCATTTCTGTTTAAAGGTTAGTTACTTTCCAGAAGGCTCTTAAACACAACACTACGGCGACTGGGGTGCAGTTCTCACAGGAGAATATTTAAAACAAACATCAAGAAAGGTCCACATTTTAAAGCTGAGACAAAAAAATGAGATTTCTGAGGTATATCAGAGCCTCTACAGGCAGGATAGGAAAATAAATGGGCACAGGAGCTCTGGGCAGCTTTTCCCCTTGAAAGAAAGTTGAAGTGTCAAATCTTCTAGTCCAGGGGTGGGCAAACTTTTTGTCCCGAGGGCCACATTCAGGTTGCGCAACTGTATGGAGGGCCGGATAGGGGAGGCTGTGCCCCCTCAAACAGCCTGGCCCCTGCCCCCTATCCACCCCCTCCCAATTCCCGCCCCCCTCAGAATCCCCGACCCATCCAACCCTCCCTGCTCCTTGACCCCTGACTGCCCCCTCTCAGGACCCCCCACCCCTAACTGCCCCCTGGGACCCAATCCACTATCCAACCCCTCCCTGTCCCCTGACTGCCAGGACCCCTATCCACACCCCCGCCCCCTGACAGGCCCCCCCAGGATTCCCATGCCTATCCAACCTCCTCTATTCCCCATCCCCTGACCATCACCCCTGAAACCTCCACCCCATCCAACCTCCCACTGCTCCCTGTCCCCTGCTGCCCCGACCCCTATCCACACCCCTGTCCCTAACTGCCCACCGGGACCCCACGCCCTATCCAACTCCCCCGCTCCCTGACGCCCCCCCCCAGAATGTCTGTCCCTAACCGCCCCCCTGGGACCCCACCCCTATCCAACTCCCCCTGCTCCCCATCCCCTGACCGCCCCCACCCCCCTGAACCTCCTCCCCATCCAACTGCCCAGTGCTCTCTGTCCCCTGACTGCCCCTCGGGATCCCCTGCCCCTTAGCCAACCCCTCCCGCTCACCGCCCCCTTACCATGCTGGAGCCAGCCATGCCGCCACGCTGCCGCCTGCATGGTGGCATGGCTGCGGGGGAGGGCACAGAGGCCGGGGGCTAGCCTCTCCGGCCAGGAGCTCAAAGGCTGGGCAGGACGGTCCCGCGGGCCGTAGTTTGCCCACCTCTGTTCTAGTCCTTAATCAAGTAAAACTTCTATTGACATCAGTGCCTCCACGCATTATATATTATCATCACAGTGAACATGGGATAACATGCTCAATAACTATACACTTCATAGTTGAATATCTGAGCTATCTTATATGCATTGGCCCAGGGACTACATTTTCTGGCATATTCTGACAGTGCTGAGCACACACATGGTGCCTAGTGAATAATACAAATCATGACTTTATGGACTTTTGGATGCCATTTCTATTCTTTTTTCTGGAATTGGCCTGGATACAGCTGAAACCCTAAGAATTTGAGGCATAAGCACATCTGGTACTCATATAACACTTTCTCAATCCTTCGTTTTCTTGAACTCTCAACAAAAAAATGACAAATGACAAAAAATGACAAACGATTTTCAGTTAAAAATCTAAAATTGCAGAGCAGCCATTGCTCTCCAACTCAGCCTGGGGCAGAACCTACCACCCCTTGGGAGTTAAGTGATCTTCTCTCATCTGACTCTCATTCTTCCTCTCTTCATCTTTCCTGATCTCTGTGATGTTTTTCATGCTGTCAAACATGACATCCTTCCCCATTGGCTGGGACCAATTGCTGGAGTCTCAGAGAACTGGCCAATCAGTTTTCTCCCATCTATCAGAGTCCTCTTTTTTTTTGCAGCTCACAGCAGAGAGAGAGAGGATGGTCCAGTGAATAGGGAGCTAGCCCTGAAAGAGTACCCCATGGACTTACTGTATGACCTCAGGCCAGTGCTTTAGGGACAGAGTTTCAAAGGGTTTTAGGCACCCAAAGATGCAGCTAGGCATCTAGTGGGGTTTACAACGCACCTAACCTTCTAGGCACTTTTGAAAATCCCGCTAGGGGCCTAAATACCTTTGAAAATCTGGCCTTTAGTCTTTTTCTGCCTGAGTGCTGAATCTGTACAATGGGAATAACAACAAAGTTCTGCATCACAGAGGGGCTGCGAGGAGAAATAGGTTAGACACTGTGAGGCGCTCAGATGCTGTGGTGATGAGGCCACATAAACACCATGGGTAGAGTGGAACTTCTCTGTACCACTGCTATCCCTTTGCTGGATTTTGGCCCCTTCTTTTCATCTACACCCCTCAAATCTCTCTCTTTTCTGAATGTAAACTTGGCTCTGAGGGCGTGGCTGTATTTCTTCTGAGTTCCCTGTGTTCTCCAGCACCCCACCGCTCCTGCCCCAGAGGGATTCCTGTTTTACAAACTCATATAAGGACTTCCAGTTCCTTAATTTAATTACCAGCCCTTTCTTTTCTTAATCACCCTGCCTCTATTTTTAAACCACATACTGACTCCCAGCCTCAGTCTGCACAATCTGGGAGCCCCATCTTTCTTCTGGAGAACTCACATTCCACACTAATCCTGTGCAGTTAAGAGCTCCACCTGGGAGCACACTTCCTGTATGAAATTCAGGGGGGGCAGGAGCACCCCCCCCCAATGGTGCCCTTGCCATTGTCAGTTTCTGCAAATCCCTCCATATGTCAATCTATGCAAATCTGCTGCAGAACTCAGAATTCTCCTGCATGTTAAAGTGTGTGTGTTTCATTCTTGCTCTGATTGCATATTTTATTTTTGAGGCGCATGAGCCATTCTCACTGAAGTAATTAAGTTGTGTGGGCTTTAGCCATAACTTTGCACCAAGTTAGGGCTTGTCTACACTGGCACTTTACTGCACAGCAACTTTCTCCCTGAGGGGGTGTGAAACCCCCACACCCCCCAGAGCGGTGCAAATTTCAGTGCTGTAAAGTATCAGTGTAGACAGTGCACCAGCACTGGGAGCTATTCCCCTCGGGGAGGTGGGTTTTTTATAGCACTTTAACATTGCTAGTGAAGATGTGCCCTTAGTTTTGTGTGTGTTGGAGGACTGACTCTCGGCTTTCATGAACTGTAGTGGCAAGTGCAACAGAAATGTTTGTTAATGAACACGTTTCAGCTTGATTCATCTGCACTGGTGGAGGACAGTAGATGTGTGGAAGATGCATATATCAATCCTCACCAGCAGGGACAGCTGTGGGCTAAGGGGCATTCCCTCCCAGGCAGGGCAGATAGTTTTTGCCCTGTTGCCCTCCCTGCTGTTTCCATCAGTGGAGGGCAGCTTTAAAGCAGTCCACTGGAGCCCAGTTAGCAGAGACTGCCCAGCAGGGGGCTGCAAGCTGGTGTCAATTTAGGTAAGACCAGCTCCTTTGTGATAAAACCCTGTCTGGAGAGGATAAATTATGGTCAAACCTGAGCCTTTCCTGGCCTGGTTCTCTCATCTTTCTGTCCTGGCTACGAGGAGGTCCGTTCAGAAATTCAACCTCTGCTTTGGCTCATCAGAATCAGTGAGTGTCAGACAGGACAATGGAGGAGGAATCTGGGTTAGTTCTCTGGCTGGTGGATGATGTGTACATACAATGGAGGAGCAGGATCCTGTAAGGCCAAATGTTTTGCAGAGACCCAAGATGCTCTTTGAACCTGCTGATAGCAGAACAATGTTTCCACTAGAGCTGGGATTTCTTCTTTTGCATTAAAAGTTTAATTTAAAAAATGACTTTTTTCCAAAACCACTTGCTTTGCGCAAAAAAATTGTTAACATTCAGTAACTTTGTTACTGAAATCATTTTTGAAGTAGTTATCAAAATGCTTTATTTACTCAAACCCGTGTTCTTACTGAAAACTGGGATTTTGGTCAATGAAAACTTTCAGAAAAGGTTAGATAATATTTCAGTAAAAATTGTTACATAAAATGGACCCATTTCAAACCCTGAAAAATGGCAAGAGTGAAATGTAATTTCAATTTTTCACTAAATCGTTTTCCTCTTTTGCAAACGTCTCTGGTTCATACAGGTCCGGTAACCTGGCAGTTTCTATGCGCAGATGGTCCTGAGTTGCAAAGCTTCTGTCCATCTCAGAATTCTTCCAAATTTAGGGTTGGAGTGATGATTAAATATTAAGTAAATGTAAGTGCTTCGAAGACACTAAACAGCATAAAAATACAGTCAGAGCAAGGAATGGGCATATGCTTAGACTGCCCAAGGGGCATCAGGTCTTCTTGGCTTGATGGACTTACCGTTTCCTGGTTTATGCAAAGTCCTGAACACCTGCAATTCTTACTGAGGTCAATGGGAGCAGGGGGTGCTCAGGATTGTACCCTCATGTACAGAGGAGGACCCATTAATCTGTGACCTAGATAACAGAATATTTATGCATACCCTAGTTGGAGGGAGGCACTGGACTAGAGCCATTGTTGTCACTCTAACCCTAGGGCCGGAAATGTATTCTTAACAATGTCAAAGCACAGAAGGATTTTATGTCCTCCTCTCCCTCCCCACGCCCCCTCCCAAGGCATAATCAAGACAACAGGGACCAACATCTCCCTGCAAACAATTTTTGGATGGAAGTATAGAAGCAGTTATTCTATACCCTGAAAATGTAAAGTCTATTTTCTGGGACAAAAATCAGCAAGTAAACTATTCTCTAAGACAAAGAATCAACTAGAACGTATGCTAGACAAAGACATTTTCCATCTTATATCTGAACCCCCACTCTCAGTATTTGTTTATCTATATTGTGTTTTGCTTCATTGTTTAGTCCTTAACTTGCCTGCTCTCTCTCAATACTGAGAATTGTAAATATTTTAATTCCATTTTCCCTAAGCCTGGAAAGACCCATGCCCAGGAATAGACCTTATGTGCCCACAAAGTCCTGTGGTCTTTAGTAGGACTACTCACACACGTAAAGGTTTGTGGGATCCAGCCCTATTGTATTTTCTGACTCTTGTTTACAATAGATTGCAGAACTAAGAAGAAAGGACTTTTAAAAAATTGCATTGGATGTGACACCTTAAATAACCTGTTGGAATTCTTTTCTTCCCTCCTTCTCCTCCTAGCATATGGCTAAGCGAAAGATCGCAGTTGTTGGTGCTGGGTTGATTGGCCTCTCAACAGCAGTGTACATTTCAGAATCTATCTCCAAGTGCTCTGTGACTGTAATTTCGGACAAATTTACTCCCAACACAACGAGCGATGTAGCAGCCGGAATGCTTATTCCACACACTTATCTAGGTGAGTGAAACCTCTGCTCAGCTCATAGCTCAAACTTCAGAACGATGTGGATTAAAGGTTTTTTAAGTTTAAACTTTCTTCAGATGATACCAAAAAGAAATTATTCCACTTGATAGTATTCGAATCTGATTAGTTTAGAATATGTCTGCAGTCTTTATTTTATGACCAATCATAAATTATGCCAAGGAAACCCCCAGTGTTTTGATGCTTAATCACCTGTTCTTGTTCCATTTTAAGTCCTAAGGTGTTTGGAGATATTTTCAGCTCTTTAATGCTCTACATAGTGTGTGTGTGTATCAGACAACGACCCAGGGATCTCTTCATGCCAATCAGCAGAGAGCACATATGGATATATGCAAAATAGTTCACCGAAGAGTGACATGTGAGGTGTATACCAAGAATCTGTAGCCCACTGGTTGTCAAAGTCATTTTGAAAATGTATGTATGTATATATACTAAAAAAGTTATATTCTCAAGGTCTTGGAGTTAAGGCAGGTCACCAGGAAGTTTCATACCTGGAAATGTTCCTTTCAGGAAGGAGGCAGCAGACACCGATCTCTCTGTCTGGTTATTTGTGTAGTGTATGCCTCACCATGTAGCCCTATTTGCATGTTGAGCCATGCGCAAAGGAAGAGATTGTGAAATCTACAAGAGACAAAATTCACAGGATGGAATAAACAGCAGAGGTGTCTGCTTCAGATTAAAGACAAAGGATTATTAGTGTATATCTGCGAGTACAAGGAAACAGACAAGTAGACAGCTTGTCTGTCTCATGAGAGGAAGGTTAAGGCCAAACCTGGCTGTAAAATGCTACAGGGATTTTGGATGAGCAATATTCTACAAGACATGAGTGTATCTTGTTAATTAAGTCTAGGCTCTAGAATGCATGTTATGCTTTTGTTTTATATATAACCATTTGTTTCCAGTACTACTTCTTGCTGCTACTTGAATCTTTGTGCTTTGTTAAATAACTGTATACTTGATTTCACTATACACATGTCTGTGCTGTGTGTTAAGTGCTGTGAGTTAAATGAATTAGTGATCTGAGGTGGAACTGATAAGCCGAGGTGCACTGATTCTTTAGGGCAGCAAGGGCTGGACCCTCCAGGCGGATGCTCAGAGAGCTGAGGTTTGGAGTGTGCCTGTCGCTAACCTGTAGAGAAACAGCAGGGCCTGCGAGGCCTAGAAAGAAATGCTTGTGTTGCCTGTAGCAGGGAGCTGATCCCCGGCAGGCACAGACAAGGCTTCCTCATGCTAAGGGCAGATGATAGCAAGGTGACTTTCAACTCTGGGCACCCCCAGGAAGCGGGTCAGTGTGCAGACGTTCGTGTTAATGAAAGTACTCCTGTTTCAGTAATTACTGTAGTCTGATGTTTGCTGAGAGGTTAGATATAATTACATAGAATACCCTGGCCTGCACTGGGGAAGGGTTTACAAGGAAAATTAGGAGAGATTGTGTCTCAGGGATGGGAGGGAAGAAAGGGAAGAAAAAGAAAAAAGGCAGGAATCACTAAATTAAAGGCTCCTCCAGCAACTTTAACCTGACTGGCACACCTTGTATGTTTTACCATATGCATTTTAGGACATGAACAATATATTGACCTACGCATGTAACCAATGTCCCATAGGCAGAAGTACTGCCTATGGGAAAGAGGCTGAGTTTATGTTGTTCTAGGAAATATAACTTTCATTTTCTTACTTTTAAAATTTAATCTTAAAGTGTCCATCCTCAGGCCCTGATGACTTCAGTAGGGTAGGATTATGTGCTAGTGGATCCCAGTGCAGGATTGGGGCCTTGATGTTGCAGTAGGATATATTTTCCACTAATATATAGTTCAATCAGCAGGGTATGCATTGATTTTTTGGGATATAGTTCAGTCTTGTAATGTGTAACGACAACATTAAGTGGGTAAATATGAAGGCCGCAACACTGCAAGCTGCTAAGCACTGTCATCTCTCTTTGAAGACCAATGCAGTCCTGGAGAGTTGAGGGCAATTAGCACCTTATAGGAGGCATGCATTACCTTATAGCACTGGACTTTATAAATACTAAAATAGAGGTTTAGTTCCCATGTATTTTGTGTGTTCAGGACAGTGTATACTTTTACCTGGTCATATACAAAGTTTTACTAATGTAGAAAATTTACTATTCCTGGTTTCTCTGATGCCTACCTTTCTCAGCTGATGTGGGTTTGGGAGTCTTTTCCTGATCTACCGTCTCCCTCCATTTTAGTTTTTTGCTTTATTTCATATGTACAGGCATACCAATTCATCAGCAGAAGCAGTGGATTAGGGAGACCTTTGACTATCTTTTTGAAATCAATAATTCATCGGAGGCTTCAGATGCTGGCATTCATCTGGTGTCTGGGTAAGAAAGGAACTCAAAATAGGTTTTTAGTATTTTTATGCTATATACTGTAATAGGCAGGGTGACACTCCATCCAATACTTAAGGGACATTCTTTCTCTGGAGTCTCTCTTGTGACCCATATTTAAAAGGAGCTACAGTGTTAAGATGCATTTGATTACATGAAGCGAGTTTTCAAGCAAAAAATCATTCAAAGGCTCATACAAACAAAACACTCTGGGCTGGTGTCTCTTAAATATAAGTTGTAGCCCATATCTTCCCTACATTCCTCCTCCTTTAGTTGCTTGAAATGTACGTGGTCATCCTAGTAATGGAAGATGGAACATTGTAGGATCTTTCAGGTATGGTAACTAAATATAAAACACAGTAGGTTTGCTGCCCACCATACCTACAAAGATTTGTCTACTCAGTTTGTGACTTTGCTGGCACCTGGAAGAAAGTATGATCAGGCACTGCATGAAGATGAAGCCAAGAAGCTTGTAGCCTTTAGAAAGGGAGCCTGAGTCAAGCCTGGTCTACACGACAGGACAGAGTTTGATTGACGTAAGGCAGCTTACATCGACCAAGTTATATCAGTGTCTACACTACAGCTTTGCTCCTGCCGATGTAAGTGCCCTACTACATTGACAGAATAACTCCACTCCACAAGAGACGTAGGGCTTACGTCAGTGTAGTTAGAGCAACGCAGTGTCTGTGTAGACACTGCAGGTTACATACATTGGCTGTCATTCATGTCAATTTCACAACTCTGTGCTAGAGCCGTGAACTTGAGAAGAAAACTTGGCTCATAGCTTGGGCTGTCACCCCAGCTGCCTCTGGGCTTCCCACTTTGAACCAGGCTGCCGCCCAGGCTCCCCACTGTCCCCAGGAGCCCAGCAGCTGCTCCAGCTCCCAGCAGGGAGCTGAGAGCCCTAGGGGCAGCCAGGCTCCCATGGGAGAACAGGAAGCTGAGAGCCTGGGAGGGGTGGGGCAGCTGGGCTCCTGGTGCGGAGTTGCGCATGGAGCTGAGAGCCCAGACTCTCAGCTCCCCACCCCCTTAAGAGGGTGGAAGTGCTCCTGGTATGGACATGTGCGACCAACAGAAGGAGGGTAGTGTGGACCCTGAGTAATTACCATGGTGGTTCTAAGTTGACCTAAAATAGGTCAACTTAAGTTTGTAATATAGACATGCCCTTAGTAGCTACTCAGTGGAGGTAGAATTAGTACTTTCCTAGGAGTGTTGTGTAGAAAGCTGGGGAAAAGTTTGGATTTTAAAGGTGGGGGGGAGAAAAGGTGTTAGCTATAGATGTTAAATGGGGTAGTGTAAACTAGCGGAGTCACCCCTCCGCGTCTGAGGGAGGCCTCACCTCCTCGCAGTTTGGGTCTGCTAAAGCCTTCTCCAAACAGGAAAAAGGAGGGAATCCGCCATTCTCAAGGGGCCCGTCCTTCAAGCAGGGGTGGGCCACACAGGCTGGGCTCTGGCCTGTTACCAGGGAGAGCTGTAGCAGTCTGTCCGCCTAGTTGTTAAACAGGGCGGGGTAGTCAATTGTCAAGGGTGTGGTCTGCAAAGGGCCAGGGCAGCAGCAGTTTATCCACCCTGTCACTAGGCAAGGTGGGGCAGAGAACAGCCAAGGCTCTGACCTACAATCAGGTAGAGCTCTTGTAGCTCACTTGCTCAGCCTTTAAGCAGGCTGGGGCGGCAACCAGCCAGGGCTCTGGCCAGCAGTCAAGCAGCACTACAGCATCTATGCATAAGTGCCAACTTCTGCTGGTGGATGCTCAACCCGCCTCTGCCCCCAGCCCCGCCACAACTCTCCTGCCCCGCCCCCATTCCAACCCTTCCCCAAAGTCCCCACCCCAACTCCACCCCCTCCCTGACCCTATTGGACTCCTTCCCCAAATCCCCAGCCCAGCCCCTTCCCCCCTGAGCAAGCCACATTTCCGCTCCTCCCCCCCTCTCTCCTGGAGCTTGTGACGCTGCGAAACAGCTTGTTCAGAGCAGCAAGTGCTGGGAGCTAGGGGGAGAAGTGAGGACACGGCACGCTCAGGGGAGGAGGCGGAGGGGAGGGGAGGCGAGGCAAGGCAGGGGTGGGGAGGGGAGCTTGCCTGCCTGTGGGTGCAGAGCACCCACCAATTTTCCCCATGGGTGCTCCAGCCCCAGAGCACCCACAGAGTCGGCGCCTATGACTCTATGCGCCCTGCCTTTGAACAGGCTGAGTCAACAAACAGTCAGGGCTCTGGCCTGCAGCCAGGCAGAGCTGTAGCTCCAGTCCAGGCTATGGGGCTCCAGTTTGGGGTGAGCACCACACTCAGTCAAGGGGACTCTGGTTTGAAGTGAGCAGAGGACCATAGGTCTCCTGGCCTACAGAGGGGGAGTATTGCCACCCCAGGGGTGGGGTGACATGGGTCCACCCAGCTCCACTGTGTCCCAAACCAGGGCCCTAACAGTGGTGGAGTAGTCCCTACCTAGTCTCTACCCCTCAGGCGTACCTGGATCCAGGGGTCAGCCTCAATCTCCTCTGGGTACTCTGCCAAGGGTAGCGGTAGCAGCATCTCTGCACCAGGAGCGTCAGGGCTCCGTGGAGGCTCATGCTAGTCCCTTGGGCAAAAGCAGTTTTTGGTGCTTGCCTCTGGCATCAGAGAAGAAGCATCTATCTCCTCCAGCAGCTTCCTCCCAACTGAGCAGCTGGGCCAACCTTTTATAGCTCCCCTTCCTGTCCCGTCCCTCTGCTTCCAGTGTGTGGGCGTGGCACTTCTGGCTCCTCCCACCAGGCGGTGTGCGGTGTTCCCTCCATGTCTGCAGCTGAGGAAGGCTGCACCTCCTCCCTACAGGCAGGAATTCCAGAGTTTAAACTCTGAAGGGGAGCAAACTTTGTACCTTACCTGGAGATGAGCCCAAGCAGTGGCATTGTGATGCAGATCTGGATTTGAGCCCATCTCTAAATTTAACTTGGTGTGGAATTTAGTTAGTGAATTCATGCGGATTAACCTAGAATCTCTGCAACAAGATTCCAGACTGGAGAGTAAATGGAGCACAGAAAGGATGTGGTTTTAATGGCCCATGTTGTCATTCTCCAGTACAGTTTTAGTTTTAAATGAGAACCATGAAAATAAGAAGACACAGGACACACTGGACTGCTATTTCCTCCATCCCTCCACTCACTGCATTTAATGTATTTAACCCTGTGTTAACCTGTTATTCTCCCTGGTGCCCCCTCTCTCCCCACCCCATTTAGTGATTTTTAGCTTGGCTCCATTACCTCAAGCCTCACTCTGCCCTCACCCCTAAGTCCAAGTCCTACTAAGACTCCCCTAAATCTTATGGCCAATTAAATAATTATCATCTGTGACTCACGAGGTCTTTTACTTTGTTACTTTCTATCTGTCTAAACTCTAGAGATCCTGCTGACCAATGGAAGAAGATTGCTAATATTTTTAAATTAAGATCAAAATGAATTGTGTCACATGAACCCAAGCGTGTCTAAGTTTACCCTGTTCTCTTCCATGTCCTTTAGCTGGCAGATCTTTAAAACCATTCCTGATGAGGTGTTACCATTCTGGTCTGATGTTGTCCTGGGATTTCGTTCAATGACTGAAGAGGAGCTGAAGAAATTTCCACAGCACAGATTTGGTCAGGCTTTTACTACACTGAAATGTGACTGCCCGTCCTATCTGCTATGGTTGGAGAAAAGGTTGGTTTTGATGGGTATAGCTGATATTTCCTGAAAGGAAAGGCTTGGGAATATTCCTTTGATTTAATGGATTTTAAAATCTTTCCTTCCTTTCTGGGACAAATGGAGACTGATCTTCTGTGAGTTACCCCTGTGTTACATATATATCCTCTTTTGCAAAAATTTAAAGGCCATGGGAATGAGCTTCATTAAACCTAAGGCCGTTTTTCACGATTCTGGTAGTGTCCAGATGTTTTAAAATGGAGGAATGTTATATTTACCATTTTAAAGCCCCATTACATGGGCAGAGTGTTGTGAAGTGGCTTTAATGTAACTGAGAATAAGGCCCCTGTTTTCAAAATCTTCTAAAACTATCCCTTAGACGCTCCCTGCAGGGTTGGTGCACAAGGGAGCAGAAGGTGCACAAAGCCTCCCCTTCTTATATCTGCATGCAATGACAGGGTAATTTCAGTCCTGAGTGCAAGGACACCTCCAGCCAGGGGAATAGCCACAGAAGCATTAGCCTCCCCAAGTAGGCAAGGAACCATGGTCCTTCTCTTAGTCAGTGAAACAGAGCTGGCTAAGTACACCAGGGAGCCTATATACCTTATATCAGGCTGACTCAGGTACTGCAGCTGCAGTCCCCCTGCAGATAATGCACACAGGTAGATGATGATACATTCTGGAGCTCTTGCTGGGGCAATTCAGCACCATCCTCAATGAAGGACTGTGTCTTAATGGCTCAATCAATTTCTTCAAGGGAGACGTTCACTGAGCATTGGGGGAACTATCTTATGCATGACCTGATCCACATACATTTACATGGGGAATCATGCAGGATTTGGATGTGGAAAGCGGATTTCTTGAGAGCAGCCATATTCCTGGTCCTGTCCTTTCATAGATTCATAGATTCTAAGGCCAGACAGGACCGTTGTGATCATCTCCTCTCTGATCTCCTATGTAGTACAGGCCATAGAACTGCCCCCAGATAATGCCTACAGCAGATCTTTTGGAAATACATCCGCTCTTGATTTAAAAATTGTCAGCAATGAAGAATCCACTACAAGCCTTGGTAAATTGTTCTAATGGTTAATTACTTTCACTGTTAAATTTTTGTGCCCTATTTCCAGTCTGAATTTGTCTAGCTTCAACTTCCAGCCATTGGATCATGTTAAACCTTTCTCTCCAAGATTCAAGAGCCCATTATTCAATATTTGTTTGTCATATAGGTACTTACAGACTGTAATCAAGTCACCGTTTAGTTTTTTTCTTTGTTAAGCTAAATAGATTGAGTTCCTTGAGTCTATCACTTTAAAGCATGTTTTCTAATTCTTTAATAATTTCTCATAGCTCTTCTCTGAACCCTCTCCAATTTATCAACACCCTTCTTGAATTGTGGGCACCAAAACTGGACAAAGTATTCCAGCAGTGGTTGCACCAGAGCCTAATATAGAGGCAAAATAACCTCTCTACTTGTACTGAAGATTCCCCTGTTTATGCATCCTAGGATCGCATTAGCTCTTGTGGCTACAGCATCACATTGGGAGCTCATATTCAGCTGATTATCCACAACGACCCCCAAATCTTTTTCAGAGTCACTGCTTCCCAGAATACAGTCCCCCATCCTGGAAGTATAACCTACATTCTTTGTTCATAGGTGTGTACATTTAGCCATATTAAAATGCATATTGTTTGTTTGCGCTCAGTTTACCAAACAATCTCAATTGCTTTGAATCAATGACCTGTTCTCTTCATTATTTAGCACTCCCACAATGTTTGTGTCATCTGCAAACTTTATTAATGATTATTTTATGTTTTCTTCCAGTATTGATAAAGATGTTAAATAGTGTAGGGCCAAGAACCAATTCTTGCAGGACCCCACTGTGAACAGACCTGTTCAATGATAATTCCCCATTTACAATTACATTTTGACACCTATCACTTAGCCAGCTTTTAATCCATTTAATGTGTGCCAGGTTAATTCTAGTGTTTTAATCAAAATGTTATGTGACACCAGGACAAACACCTTAGAGGCATCTATGTAATCTTGTAATCTCATCAAATTTGTAATCTCATCAAAAAAAGATATCAGGTTAGTTTTACAGGATGTTTTCTATGAACCCATGTTGATTTTCATTAATTACATTAACCTTCTTTAGTTCATTATAATTAGGTCTGGTATCAGCCACTCCATTACCTTGTCCAGGATCACAGTCAGGCTTACAGCCTATAAGTACCCAAATCATCCCACTTGCCCTTTTTAAAAACTGCACAATGTTAGCTTTTTTCCAGTCTTTTGGAACTTCCCTAGTGCTCCAACACTTATTGAAAATCAGCATTAATGGCCCATCAAGCTCCTCAGCCAGTTCTTTTAAAATTCTTGGATGCAAGCCATCAGGACCTGCTGAAATGAAAGTTAAAAATGTCTAACTTTAGTAGCTTCTGTTTAAGATCCTCCAGAGATACTAGTGGAGTAGAAAAAGTGTTATCTTCTGTCTTTTCTCTGCCACAAGTCAAATGAGCATTCAGATGTTCCTCATTTGCCAGTGTGTAATTTCCAAAATACATCCCACCAGCTCTTGAAAATGGTAAAAGATGCTAATGCTTTGCAAGCCTTTGCCACAAACCAAAGGTGATGTTTTGAAGCCTCTAGCCTCACTGGTTTTGAGCTATGAAATGACAAAACCTGTCAGGAGAATTTGAAAATCTTGGAAAATGCCTCTTGTTCCAACCTCTGGAATTGGCTGGGCCAATTCATCTCTGATTTGGTCAAAAACCTCTCTTCTGCCCAACTCACCTCACAAACTATTCTGGAATCAGGAGCAGAAAGGAGTAAAAAAAATCCAGGTACTATCTTTCTGTATTATCATCTTGTAGAAAACCTTACAGAAATATTTGCATGTGCAAAATGCTTGGCACAAATGAAGGCTTTAAAATGTATGCCTGTGAGAAAAAAGTCTTACAGTTCATATTTTTCCTTCTGAAGACCAATTCTCCTCAAACCACATCAATTTCAAAGAATTTTAGCAGAGTCAGAAAACCGATCCTATAATGTGTACGTATAATCCATTTAAATACGCTTAAAAAGAGCAAATAACGTTTAACATTTCACAGGCATAGTGACTGGATACGAGGTGATTTGATGTTAGGTAGTAAAATGTGTGTCTACATCTTGGAACAAATTGCTAGATAATAGGCTTGTTTGATTATGTTCCATGCCACTGAACCACATAAAATAACATTTCTTGTTTTTTAGCAGCAAGCATGAGTGGGAGTACTCTAGCCGACTTCTGTAGCGTCTCACAGGAACACACGCCTTGTCATGTTTCATTGCTTAACTGATACTGAAAATTGAACTAAGGCACAACTAAATCACTGACTCCATTTAGTATCTGTCAGGCTGCTTCACCACAAAGGCTGTGTCCTTATTCCTGTTTCAGACTCTTCTCATTTCCCAAAGGATGTAGTCTAATAAGATGATCAAGTCCCCCCCCTCGTCCCCCTCCCCCCACCCGGTGAGTACCAGGAAAGAGAGCATAGTAAATATGTACTATTTTGCAAACCTAAGTGATCTGAACAATATTTATGGTACCTTGCCTTGGCAGCACAAAAGCATTTACTATACCCTCTTTCTAGGTTAGCTTTAATGTCACAGTTCAGGAACTTTGTCCCTCTACCTTGTCTGAATTCTGCAGAATGTTTAGTAGTTTTTGTACAAACATATTTTTGCAAAAAAGATGACAGAATCTCAAATGCTATGGGTGAGATCCCACTAGAGAGAGTTAATCTCTACCTATTAGACAGATTAGGAGCTGGTCCTGCAGGGAGAACCCTACATTTAAGCCATGCTCAAAATGAAGCTTAGATTGAGATTTAAATAACAATAAATGTAAACCCTAGGAAGAGGATGAGTTTTTGATGAAAGAATGGCATGCATGCCTAACGTGCAGTCAAACAGATCTCTTTACAGATATTAAACCAAGTCATCCCATCCTACATGAGATCGCCACTTTAAAACACCCAGAGTAAATTGAAGTTAATACCTGCTGTATCTCACTCTCTATAAATGAGGCCTGATTCCTTTCTTCCTTATGCAGTTATAAATAGTGTCATATTTGATAGCAACCCTGAAGACAGAGTGACATAAGTGATGAATTTGGCTCAAGTAACAGGTACCTTAGAAATGTATGTAGTAAAATACTACTAATAATATAATAAATACTTGTATGATGTAAAAGTCATATTTTGCCCATCCTTAGGCTGCATGAACTGCTCAGTTTTGGAGCTGTCATGAGAATGAATTCATGAGATCTCTATCACATCTTTTTTGCCACAGCATCTCTGTAATATTTGTACACCTGGTATATTTTGCCCTGTCCAATCTTATAAACAAACGAAGAGCCTTTTGTTCGCAATGTCTTAATTCCAACAGCCAAATCAGACAAGTCATAAACAAAAGCCCTGTGCTATCTATCTCTGATTTTTCTTCAATTTTCTATTCTTCTGTTTCTTAAAGAGTCTCTTGACTTGCGTAAAAATTATCAAGGTGATTTATTAATAGTTAATTGTCTTGCTTTACCTCCCGTGTTTCTTTTTAGGTTGAAAGGAAATGGCAGCCAGGTGTATGCAAGACGAATCAAAGATTTGTGGGAACTACATAGCAAATATGACATCGTTGTCAACTGTTCAGGCATTGGATCCAGAGAACTCATGGGTGACTTGGAGATATACCCTGTCAGAGGTCAAGTACTCAAGGTCAATGCTCCTTGGGTGAATCACTTCATCCGGGATGGGGATGGCTTAACCTATATCTATCCAGGAATACACAATGTAACATTAGGTGGGACAAGGCAGAAGGATAACTGGAGCTTGTCCCCAGATCCTAGAAGTAGCAAAGACATATTTGACAGATGTTGTGCTCTTGAACCCTCACTTCAAAGAGCCCAGGACATAAAGGAGAGGGTGGGTGTGAGACCATCCAGGTTAGCTGTGAGACTGCAGAAAGAGATACTAGTCCATGATGGGAAAAAACTGCCCGTGGTCCACAACTATGGACATGGTTCGGGTGGCTTTTCAGTGCACAGGGGCACTGCCAAAGAGGCTGCTCGACTGGTGGGAGAATGCATTGCTGCTCTGGAAGGCGCCTCTTCAAAGGCAAAGTTATAATCACTGGGGCCTCCTTTTCAGTTATTGGTAGGCTATAATAAATCTACTAGTAATACCTTTGGAATGTTATTCTATAAGCTGCATGCCACATTCTGAACTGCAGCCAAGTGCTTGTTTTGTGAAAAGTGTTTGCCCACAGGTGAGAGGGTGTTTTTGTCTTTCACCATTTTTCTGTGTCAGTTCACTGGAGAGCATAATGATTGTCTGGTTTCACCCACATAGCCGTTGTTGGGGCATTTGATGCACTGGTTGATGTACAACACATATAAGAACCAAGGATCTTGAAAGGTGTGCTGTGGGAGGTATAGATTCGATAGAGACACTAGTTTTATGTCTGTTTACAACCATCTGTAACCCCAAAAATCCTCCTTTGTCCCATGACTGTAGAGGTGTTAATGGGCCATTTCATTTTGAATGGTCCCTTGCAACATGCATGAACTGCTGTGCTTAACAATCTGTTCCACCTTGTGACACTCTGATTACCTTTTACAGACCTGAAGAAAACCTCTATGTAGCTTGAAAGCTTGTCTCTGTGTCTTCCACCAACAGAAGTTGGTCCAATAAAAGATTATCTTCTCACACACCTTGTCTCTCTCATATCCTGGGACCAACAGGGCTATAACAACACTGGAAAACAACAATGGGTGATTTCATATGGTCAGCTGAAAGGTACCTTCTCTCTCATAGATCATATCCAGAGGTTGGCCAAAGCACAACGACCCTTCACTACGCCATGTACATGATGACAAAGCACCTACTGATAAATTTGCTGTTCCAAACTCTCTTCCTTTTCACTGTCTTCTCTATTCACTTTCTTTTATTGCAAAACATCCTTTCTTTTACCAGCATATTACTGCAGTCTGTGATAGTCACTGCAGTTGGATTCAGACATGCAGGTACCCAGCATGAGCAGCACAGAAAATCCCTAAGGGAGAAATATTTTACAGAAAATCCTATAGCTGTGATTACTTCTATGTAATATACCTAGGGTTAATATTATGCCCATCACTGGGTAGCTGGCACTATGTTAAGTGACAGGGTTTCTGTACTGTAAACAGCAGAAGGACACTGTACATCAGCAGGCTCTAGATTTTGATATTGGAAATAAAACAATGTTCAGTGGGTTTGAATTACATTTGCAAATGGCTGTCTCCATTTCCATGCATCCGATGAAGTGAGCTGTAGCTCATGAAAGCTTATGATCTAATACATTTGTTAGTCTCTAAGGTGCCACAAGTACTCCTTTTCTTTTTATGGATACAGACTAACACAGCTGCTACTCTGAAACCTGTTTCCTCTTTGGGGCTGAAACCTGCATGCACAAAAATGTTCTCATGAAAAGTGCCAGATTGACAAGCCTAAGCCTAGATAGTAAAGTCCTCTCTTTACCTTTATAGAACACTTCAGCACGGGCAGCAAGCAGTACAGTGGACTCAGCATCGCTTTAAATCTGTGAAGTAAGATTAGATAACTTTCTAATTATGATATGCTTGAATCCAGCTTGTGGGCGAAATTCCACAGTCTGTGTGTACAGGGATTCAGGCTAGATGGCTGTGGTGGTCCCTTTATAGAATCACGTGGAACTTTCCAGATTTTCTGAGGATTACATTTTCCTTGAACCTCCTAGAATGTTGTCAGCCATGCCCACACAGGTATATAAGGGGTGGGGAATCACCAGTCTGTCAATGAGATATAAGAACAAACTGAAGTGAGAGCCATAGGTGCCAACTCCGTAGGTGTTCCGGTGCTGAAGCAACCACGGGAAAAAAATGGTGGGTGCTCAGCACCCAACACCAGCCCCCCTATCAGCTCCTCCCACTCCCTCGCAGCACCTCCCGCCTGCTGGTGGCCCCACGGATCAGTGCCTCCCCCTTCCTCCACGCATCTCCTGTGTTCCGCAGATCAGTTGTTTAACAGTGTGCAGGAGGCGCTGGGGGCCGAAAGAGGGGAGAGGGGTTGGGAAGAGGCAAGGCACGAGTGGGGGTTTGAGGGAAGGGTGGTATGGGGGCGGGGTCTGGGGCAGGGCAGGGGCGGCAAGAACGGGTGGGGACGGGAAGAGGCATGGCAGGGGTGTGGGCTTGGGTGAAGTGGAGTGGGGGCAGAGTCTGGGATGGAGCGTGGGTCGAGCACCCCCCGGGGACGCAGGAACTGGGTGCCTATGATGAAAGCTGTGATATTGTGAATCTTGTTTTATTGTGTAATTGTGAAAGTGTACTTGTGTTTTAAGACTTGAAGAGTGTAAGTAGTGACTAATAAAAGACATATTTAATGAGACACCAGAAATATCTATCAAACCCCTATCAACATAACAACATAAAAGAAATACTGTTACTTCTTTTGCTATGTATCAGAGGGGTAGACGTGTTAGTCTGTACCCACAAAAACAATGAGGAGTCCAGTGGCCCCTTAAAGACTAACAGATTTATTTGGGCATAAGTAAAAAATCCCACTTCTTCAGATGCATAGAATGAAAATTACTTATGGATACAGGCATAAATATATTGGCACATGAAGAGAAGGGAGTTACCTTACAAGTGGAGAACCAGTGTTGACAAGGCCAATTCAATCAGGGTGGATGTGGTCCACTCCCAATAACTGATGAGGAGGTATCAATACCAAGAGAGGGGAAATTGCTTTTGTAGTGACCCAGCCACTCCCAGTCCCTATTCAAGCCCAAATTAATAGTGTTAAGTTTGCAAATGAATTGTAGCTCTGCAGTTTCTCTTTGAAGTCTGATTTTGAAGTTTTTTTGTTGAAGGATGGCTACTTTTAAATCTGCTATTGAATGTCCAGGGAGATTGAAGTGTTCTCCTATTGGCTTTTGTATGTTACCATTCCTGATGTCTGATTTGTGTCCATTTATTCTTTTATGTAGAGACTGTCCAGTTTGGCCAATGTACATGGCAGACGGGCATTGCTGGCACATGATGGCATAGATCAAATTAGTAGATGTGTAGGTGAATGAGCCCCTGATGGTGTGGCTGATGTTGTTGGGTCCTCTGATGGTGTCGCTAGAGTAGATATGGGGACGGAGTAGAAAACGGGCTTTGTTACAGGGATTGGTTCCTGGGTTAGTGTTTCTGTTGTGTAGTTGCTGATGAGTATTTGCTTTAGGTTGGGGGGCTGTCTGTAAGCGAGGACTGGCCTGCCTCCCAAGTTCTGTGAGAGTGAGGGATCATTTTCCAGGATGGGTTGTAGATCGTTGATGATGTGCTGGAGAGGTTTTAGCTGGGGGCTGTACATGACAGCCAGTGGTGTTCTGTTATTTTCCTTGTTGGGCCTGTCCTGTAGTAGGTGACTTCTGGGTACCTACCTCGCTCTGTCAATCTATTTCCTCACTTCCCCAGGTGGGTATTGTAGTTTTCAGAATGCTTGATAAAGATCTTGTAGGTGTCTGCCTCTGTCTGAGGGATTGGAGCAAATGCGGTTAGGGCTTGGCTGTAGACAATGGATTGTGTGATGTGTCCTGGATGGAAGCTGGAGGCATGTAGGTAAGTAGAACGGTCAGTTGGTTTCTGGTATAGGGTGATGTTTATGTGACCATCACTTATTTGCACTGTAGTGTCCAAGAAGTGGATCTCTTGTGTGGACTCATCCAGGCTGAGGTTGATGGTGGGATGGAAATTGTTGAAATCCAGGTGGAATTCTTCAAGGGCCTCCTTCCCGTGGGTCCATATGATGAAGATGTTATCAATGTAACGTAAGTAGAGGAGGGGTGCTAGGGGACGAGAGCTGAGGAAGCATTGTTCTAAGTCAGCCATAAAAATGTTGGCATACTGTGGGACCAGGCGGGTACCCATAGCAGTGCCGCTGATTTGAAGATATAAGTTGTCCCCAAATCTGAAAGGGTTATGGGTAAGGACAACGTCACGAAGCTCAGCCACCAGGTGTGCCATGGCCTCATCAGGGATACTGTTCCTGACAGCTTGTAGTCCATCCTCATGTGGAATATTGGTGTAAAGAGTTTCTACATCCATGGTGGCCAGGATGGTGTTTTCAGGAAGATCACCAATGCACTGTAGTTTCCTCAGGAAGTTGGTGGTGTTTCAAAGATAGCTAGGAGTGCTGGTAGCATTGGGTCTGAGGAGAGAGTCCAAATAGCGAGATAATCCTGCTGTAAGAGTGTCAATGCCTGAGATGATGGGGCATCCAGGATTTCCAGGTTTATGGATCTTGGGTAGCAGATAGATCTACGTGTGTGTCTGTGTAGATTTGTTCTGGTGCTATAGCAGGGAGTTTCTTGAGAAGATGGTGTAGTTTCTTTTGGTACTCCTCAGTGGGATCGGAGGATAGTGACCTGTAGAATGTGGTGTTGGGGAGTTGCCTGGCAGCCTCCTGTTCATAATCCAACCTGTTCATGATGACTACAGCACCTCCTTTGTCAGATCCTTTGATTAAAATGTCAGAGTTGTTTCTGAGGCTGTGGATGGCATTGCGTTCTGTATGGCTGAGGTTATGGGGCAAGTGATGCTATTTGTTCACAATTGCAGCCTGTGCACGTCGGCTGAAGCACTCTGTGTAGAAGTCCAGTCTGTCATTTCAACCATCAGGAGGAGTCCACGCAGAATTCTTCTTCTTGAAGTGTTGGTAGGAGGGTTCCTGTGGGTCAGTACACCGTTCAGTGGTGTGTTGAAAATATTTCTTGAGTCGGAGATGGTGAAAGTAGGTTTCCAGATCACCGAAGAACTGTATTATGTGTGGGGGGGTGGGGGGGCAGAAAAAGAGTCCCCAAGATAGGACAGACACTTCTGCTGGGCTAAGTGTGTGGTTGGATAGACTAACATTATTGTTGGGTGAGCTAAGGGTACCACTGTTGTAGCCCCCTCTGACTATGCTATGCTTAACACATAATGTTTGATGACTTTCTAAGACTGCGGAACATAAACTATTGTGCTCCCTAATACTGTCTGCTTTCCCCTATAGAAAATAAAAGATGCCCCCGAAGAAGCCTTCAGGAGCTCAGTATAGGAAGCAAAAAGCTTAGTTGGAATCTAGTTTGCAGCAAGGGGCAAATTTGATGGAAAAATACCTGAAACAGAACAACAGAGACAGGGCTTTAGGCAGTAGCCATCATCCCAGAAGAAATCGGAGGAGCGAAGTGCAAATGATGGAAGTCCTATTAGTAAGGAATTAGCAGCTTCAGTTCCCAGGGCAAAGGTGAGAAAAGCAACCTTTTGAAATTAAAGGACATTGTAAGGCTGTCACCTACTGTAACGCTATTTAATACTGGTCCACCCAATGTTAGTGCACAGTTCAATTTCTTGATGTTAGTGCATTTCAGTTGTTCTTAAATTAAATAGTTTCTGTAAGCTTAGAGGAAACAATTTTTTAAAATTTTGTTATATATGGCATGAATAAATACAGATTTACAGATCTTAGCATGCAAAATATATCGTTTTATATGGCAGGGTTAAATCATGCATGCAAATCATGCATCTAAGTTGTGAAATGGGCTACAAATGCAATAAAAATATTGTATTCAAAAGTTTAACAATGGAGGGGAAGGCGCTGAAGATGCTCCTCACCTGGGGTCACCATTTGCAGAGATCAGGAAGGAATCCCCATCCTGAATCACCCCTGATTCACAACTGGTCACATGTATTCTGTGTTTGGCTTTTTTTTCTTCATTCCTCTGTAGCATCAGGGATTGGCCACAGCTGGAGATGGGACACCAGATAGGGTGAACCAATGCTTTGAGGTGGTACAGAGAATCATCTTTCTTAGATGCCTGGCTGGTGTGTCTTGCTCCCATGTTCACAGTCAAAT